ATGAAATTAGTGTTAAGCTTAAATGATCCCTATCCATGGCGACTGAGTTACACAATGTAAACACTGAAAAACTGAGAATCTTTTATCTGAAGATGATCAGGTTTCATCCATTTTACAACCCATTAACTTATCAATTTATACTAGGGGATACATCTCTGATGTTTGGGTTCACATTATCTTCTTTCATTAATCACCGTGGAACTGGTGGATCCGATCAATGAATCATAAGCAAGATAAAACTCAGTTTAGAAAATTTCCCTATTTTAAAAACATCGATCGTATATTAAATTAAAGAACGGATTGACTGATTATTCTGCAGTTAACTAAAAGTCGGATACTTCACATAATCTATTCATAAATTATGCATGTTTTTAAAGCGTATAGTCGTTTTTATTTATGCAGGCATAACTTTGAAGTTTTTATAGGAATTTTCAATGTCCAACATTTTTTCTTTCAAATGATAATCAGCTATAATTTATTCTAAAGTAATCCGTAGCCATGAAATGTTATTTTAGCAAAATGAACTGAATCAACATACATGGAGAAAAATAAATAAACTGTTCAGTTTGCATTTGTTTTGTTTAATTTGAACAGGTTCAGCTCTTCCCCATAGAATTTCTGCTACTGAATCTTGAATTTAAAAGTGATTCCAAGGTTGACATTCTTCGCTAACAGCCTGAAAGTAACATTTCCTTGCAAGAAACTATACAGCCAGCACGTAAAAGACAACCTGTTACATTGGACCATATCAGTCCACCAGCTCCTGTAGAATTGAGTACGTTGGCCGTACTATTCATCTGATTGTAAAACGCGCTCAGGAATTCTGTCCAGTCCGGATAACAAAGGGAAAACGCAGATACGTTCACAGCCCACCAATAGAAAATCTGGTAAACTCAGTTCTATTTGAAAAACTCCCGAAAGTCCTACGCATAAGATCTGATCAAACTTCTGAAAGGGATATAAATCAAGAAATCTGGACACAGCTGAAGCATAAGTGATCCTAAAATTCAAGCCAAATCGTTTGTTACTTTTATATTCAAGAATGCTAGGACTCTTAATTGATAACTTCTTCGAAAAGAAGATTTTCCTCAGTGTAATAGTCTTCTCGTTTTCGTCCTATAATGTAATCTGTATATTCCGTAATAAATGAAATAGAATGCTCTCCAACCACGCACATGGCCTGGGGTTCGATCTCTAACCGACGTACTCCTAAAACTTATTTCATAGTAAACCCGGTAAAGAGAAGATAGGAAGTCAGGCTAATAGTTCATCCCGAAAAAAGAAAATCGCTGGTGTAACAACAGAAGACAATGGCCAGGCAACAGATCGTTTTTTATGGAAATCAACACATATTTATAGATATTCATGTACATATTATAGATTATTGTTAGCAGATAAACACAGTCCTCTGATTGGTTGTTTTTCACAGAAAGTTAACCTTGCATCTCTTTGTGGCTGTTTCTTGAATGTCAGGTCATCTATATGTTAACTGTATCCGCCTACGCAACGTCTTTCTTCTCATTTTTCTCACGGCCAGTATTGGGGACATAAACATTGACATAAATTACTGTCCACCAATTTTGGCTAAGAGCCAGCTCTCACCACACTGGTACTGAAAATTCAGAGCTAAGACTTGAATCTTTAGGTCCTATTCAAAACGCGAAGGAATTAAATAACAATTAAAAAATGCGTCGTCAGCACACGACACCTACCAGCCTCTTAAACAGCACCGGACACTAAACCTTTTATAGTTTCATTTTAGGTCTTAGTCGAAAGAGTGCACTCAGAAGGAATAGAAATCCAACAGTCAGATGTCTTCTTCAAGTCAAAAGCCTTAACTAACTCTAGGCTGGATGTTGAAGTGTGTTACTCAGCGTTGAGTTGCATTTTATGATGACAAACGCGTTACATTTTGGATGGATAGAAGTGTAAAATATGACCATCCTGAATGAGATGAACTCTGTTGAAGATTCCGGACGAAAACGAAACAACTGCGGAGTTCTTATTTTCCAGCTGCTTCCCATCTGATATCAACTCTCGTTAGAAACTACTTTAAACTTTGTTCAGATCACAAAAAATTAAGTGTTCAAGACGATTTCAACATCAATTTCACCGACTGTTTACTATATTACAAACGTATCACATATGTAAAAAGATACACTATGCTCAGTTATAATTGTTTTTGCATTCGTTATATCAGCGAAAATCTGTTGATTTATCGTTTAACGATTTTAACCATTTATTGATGATGACTAGCGTCACAGGGAGTCGAACCTGAAACTTTCAGGTTACTAGGTGAGCTCATTGGCAATTCAGCCACTGGGATGGAATCCAACAGCAAGCCAACGAATTCTAAACTCTGTCAATTCACGATAAATAGCGTTACCACCAGCCAGTCATCGGTGAGCATGTCCTCACACACAATGTGGTGGACACCAATGACCACATCTTAGCACTAGAACTTCAGGCAACTTTGTCCAAACGTCAGACACTAGTAGGCGTCAGATTAATTTTCGAGAATTAGTTTGCAGAGATCTGATTGATTTCAAGTTTGACCACGGACTAATTTCAGCCGCGAACTGACAGAAGTTTAAATTCATGGAAAAAGTAACAAGCTTTTGTTGTTGGTGTTATGGGTTTTAATAAAAGAAACCCTTTCAGTCCCCAGTTTTGTCTAATCTTAAAATAACTATAATTTTACACTCCATTATGGATAAGATTTTATTTTGATTTATCACACAGTGTTATTATTATTAACTAATATTATTATTAGTATTAACTGATATAATATAACTGTACAACAGTGTGTGATATATCAAAATAAAATCTTATCCATAATTGAGTTATACTCAACCATAGTGCCCAAGTTTTATACTTATATCTATAATTTTAAAGGCTAAGACGTATTGAACCAGAAGGTTTGTTCCAATATAATAGGGCATTCTTGAAGCCCGACTTCAAGAGACCAGTCAGATTAGTGGTTCAATGCCTTAACTTCTCGTGAGCCGCAATATTTATATACAATGTGTTTTTGTGTAATGATTTAGATTATTCTCACCGGCTTAGACCAATATGACTTCTATCATTATTTCCATACGCTCTGAGGGTTAGAAGTAATCAGTCATCAGTCATCCTTGTCAACAAAGGACCAATGACCAACTCGTCGTTCCTCATTCAGGTCCCACTCGAGGGTCCTTCTGTCGTGTATTGTCACTGTACTGTCTCCTCTGTGTATATCCAATCCATCACCACTTTCTCCAGCATATTTTTTGGACAGTAGGTTTTCGGTTGTCTAGTTGCCTGTCTGAGCTTATTCTTTCAGGGTGGCCATCTGATATTCAATTTGGAGGGAAGGGGACAACTGATGATGAAAACATTCAGTAGCTTTTTGGGAATGCTTTCAATTACACGCCTAGTCTGTGGACTAAATAGAAGAAGTGACTGACATAGTTGTTAAAAATTCGAATCTTGTTCGTTGTACTAAGTCCGGTAGTTTTCTACAGTGATTTCAAGCAAATGAAGGTATATGAAGAAGAGAAGACGTTCAGCGAAGAGACTCTTTTCGGCGAATTCATTCATATAGCTGTACAATCGCATTTATATATAATTATTTGTCAAGTTTAGATAATTGATCAGGTAATACGAGAATGATCTAATATAGAAACAAGGTTAATCAGACAGCAACTAAAGTAAGATTGAGTTAGTAAGTTAGATGACGTAATATAATTGACTAAAATATTTCAACTGAAGTCAGTGTAGCAACAGAGATAATTACAGGTAGAGACTAAGTAGAAGTGGGGTAGAGAATAATGCCATTTAAATTAGAACTGAAATTGAGCAATTAAGTTGGATAACGTAACATAAATGACTAGAAATTGAGCGTTGGTCAAATCAGTAACAGTGGTAGTGGGGTGTAGAAATTAAATGGGGTACTCAAATGAAGGGTACTCAAATGGGTACTCAAATGAAGGTATGTACTGCCTTTCTTATCCTCCCTGGCTTTTATGTCGTCATTAATACTGCCTGTATTTGAAATGATGTTGGGTAGATGATTGAAACTGGTGATTTCTGAGACTTCTGCCATTGAAAGTGATTAATGTTTATTATTGTTCGTTAGGTAATTTCATCACCTATAACTTCTCTATGTTCCCAGAGAAGTCATGTCTTCTCTGCCTCACTGGCAATCTAAGCACCCACAACTATAAATGCGAATTGTAGGACTCAGATTTTCGGGTTTGCAGGTAGTTTGATTGGTTTCAGTGTAGATTTAGTCACGAGCAGACATCAGTTAGAGAAATGTTGTGAATTATGGGTATTGGGTAGATGTTTCAGCCTAGTTTTACACCCTTCTGTGGAGCACGTTAAACAACACATTTAAAAATATCAATTATTTACCGAAAGGTGGCTGCAGCGTGCTTGTCTCAGAATTAAAAAAGAAATCGTGGCCGGTGGTGTCTGTTGTGTCGGGTGTGGAGTATTGATAATCACTAACAATCCCAGAGTGATACTGTACACTTGGTTTAGCCTACCCTTTAACCACTTGACATGAGTTAATCAACTCTGTAGAAATGATCATTCCTTCATTTCAAATGACCAACCACTTCCATTCAAATATTAAGCCGAAAGTAAAAGATCTGAATAATAAAAACAAAAGCATGCTATCTTTCGACACTAAATCACTTTTCACCAATGTCTCATTTTTGAAAACTATTTCTTATGATAAACATTTAAATATTGGAATACCAATAACATATTTGTAAGAACTGCTGCTGAGATGTACTCTAAATGTACAATTCACTTTCTGTGACATCATCTATTGCAATGGGATCTCCCTCGGGTCCATTACTAGCAAACTGTTTCATGACAAGCCTCAAGGAGAGTTCAGTAAAGTCAACCAATGATAGCTTACAACTGTATACGAGGTAAGTAGATGACGTTTTCATCATTTGCAAAAATAGTTTTGACCTCAGCCAATTGCCATAGGTATTCAGCAACTGCTACCCGCCAATAAAGTTCACTCTTCAATTGAAAAAGGAATCCAAAATTCTCCTTCTTGATGTAAAACTAACAAGAAGGCCCGACAGAAACATAAGAAGGTCAATACATTGAAAACACAAATCGAACGGTCAACCAACAAGTTTCTTCAGTCTAATTACATACCTTACCACTCGTGTCCGATGCCTCTGTAGTCCTGACGCCTTAAAAGCAGAACTAGATATTCTGAAAGAAATCTTTATCTAAAATGGACACCTATCGGGATTCATTGATGAGAACATCAAAATGGAGGTTCAGAGAAATGAAACATTACTTGTTACAAAAAAAGACTAAGTGAACCTGTATTTCAAGGGAGACTTAACCTACGATATTCTTAAGAGAAGAACTTCATGGTCTTTGAGGAAAGTACTCTTCCTGGCAACGCTAAGAGTAATGTTCTCCAGTCGTCCACTGGTCTGCTGAAGCCTTATGGACTAAATCTCACATCTGACCACTTATGTATGCATATTTCAGTTCTTGTGGCGTCAGGCATATATTAGTCGTTCGACGCATACCCTGTCTAAAAGGGTTCAAGAGCACTATTCCGCATACTTGCAGAAAGATAATGGCGGTTCTATGAGGAGTCTGATAATTGAACACCTTGTCGACACTGGTCATTCTATCTCAACAAACATCTCCTTCAGCGTAAATTACAACGTGAAGGACAACCTGCCAAAGGTAATACCCTTTCGTCGGCACACTGCTAAAGTTTTAGGCATTCAGATAGAGAAACTGGACCTCTACATACAAAAGAGAATTATCCAACCACTTCTATAATCATAGTAATCACCCTGTTGTTTTCTACCGACTCGATTTTTTTTGTTTGTTGTTTAAAGCTCTTTATGACTCTTGTATTTCTCTCGAACTCTTACGAAACTTCGCATTCTCCCTCGCTTCTATGTGCATTCTAATTGCAACTCATTCATTAATTTATTCACTTTATTACGTAACCCTAATGCACTTATTCAACTTATTCAGCTCCTTTTGTGCATTGACTAACATCAACGATAATGATTATCACAACTCACCACTTTTGTTACTATCCTCTTTTGTGAAAAGAACAGACTGTATATAAATAAGATTGTAAAGCTAGAGGGGAAAAGGAATTCGCTGCTGAACAGTACTTGTGTTTTGTTCTCACTAGTGCATGGATGGAGATTACTCCTGAACTAGAAGTAAAACAACGTCCGAAATGTAAGCGAAACCGTCTTTTACAATAAAATTAACAACAACAATAATAATAATATTAATAGCAATAATATTCAGGTCATAACATGATATAAACCGTTAGTGAATAGATTCACTATCTGTATAAGAAATGTTATTATTATTGTCTTGTATATATCTCTATTTCATGTGTGTGTATATATGTTGTTAGGTGGTGTGTTTATCGTGTTTGTGTTGGTGAATTCTCATTTTTCATTTTAAGCATAATATGTTAAGCAGAAAGAATACAAGCCGATGAAATAACACACACAGTGTGTGTAGGTGGAAATCCACACTGCGTTCTGTTCTTCATCGTGTTGTTGTATGAACATTAATCGACAGAAAAAACGATGGTGTAAAAACTTATGAAGAGAGTAGGATGTTTTTTTAATCTTGTTGTTATTATTTTTCCGGAAAGAAGAAAAATGATAAATAGATTTCATTCGGAAAAACAAAAAATAAATTTATTTATTTAACCATCCTTTACACATCGTAGACGAATAGAAGCCAATATCTCACTTAATGTAAACAAAAAGAAATATATCAATAGTAATAATAATGGCAATAATAACAAGCAAAGAATTAAATTAAGTACTAATATACGCCTTTTTATCCAGCTTTATTTAGAAGCTTATTGAAGTTTTTCTTAAAAAGCCGCCAAAAGGCTTATTCGAGCTGTGATTAGTCAATAGGTAGATAGACAAACGGACAAGCGGTGGATAGGCAGACAGGTGGGCATGCAAACAAAGGAATAATCAATAAGTAGACAAGCACAGAAATGTAAAATGCTACTAATAGTAGATGGCTTGTCTGTTGTTTTTTTTCAAGCTTAAGATGTATAATGACCATGTATATTTATTCACTGTATTCAAACAACATCTGAAATCCTAAAAATATGCAAACAGCAGAAACAGAAAAGACTTTTCTTTACTAAGTAGAATTTCTCTGACACATAAAAAATACCAACCATGGGCAAAATCGAAGATGATGGTTAATTTTAGAATCCAGTTTGTTTTTGGAAAAAAAAGAATAAGCATACTGGAAACGCTGAGAAAAATACAAAAAAAGGGGGAGAGGGGGAGTAGGTAAGAAGACAGTGACGTAACATTATGTTAACTAGAACTGGTCCAAACGAAATATATATTATTCAGATTATATTGCTAGTTGGCATTATAAGGTTGTATATAAGTTGAATAATACTAATCCATTTGCTGACCTCATCACCTCATTTAAACAGTTATTCACTGATTACTGAATAAACAGGTAATTATCATGTTCAAATATAACTAAAGACTAAGCAGTAGAAGAATACCTATAATATCCATCACTACTAGTATTCCTACTATTCATAATGCGTATAATAATAGTAGTGATAGTGATGGCATTGAGGGGTGTCTGTTGTGTTCTGCAGTTTTTCCCGAGTGTGTATTGTAAAAATAAATAAGATTTAAAACAGAAAGCGGAAAGAGAAGAAAAGAATTGGACGTGCTCACCTGTGGAGAGGGAAAGGTGAATATCCTGCTGGTGGATGGAGGGATGGGTACATCACAGACATGACTATAATTCGTGTCATATTAATATAACACTCCAAAAGACGAAACGCTTGAAGAAGACAACAATTAAACAAACAAAATTGAAGCGTACATAAGTTTAAATAATCCTAAGACACACAATAAGTCGAAAAGAAGTAGGGTTGAAAAAAACCAGGCAGAAAAGATAAAAAATAGGCTTTAACCGTAAAACACACATACACATACATTGAGTAAAACAATAGAATCAATCTGTCTAAATCTACAAACATATTTTCAGATTTAGATTACGCGAAAATGAAAAAGAAACATGCACACAAGAAAGAAAGATAAATATCTCTAGGGCAAATAAAAGGGATTAGAAGGTGTGCAGTTGTAATAAGCTGAAGCAACCACACCAGTTTTCATTCGTTTAAAAAGAATTTCCGTCTCTCTCATAGTCCTTCGTTCATCTTATGATTATTTACCAAAGTCACAATCACATGTGGTCAGATGTAGCAACAGGAAGTGAATAAATAATTAAATGATAACAATAATAGTCAGTAAATAAATTAAAAAACCTGAAGAAAATGTTACTTAGCTATAGTAAATGCACTTCTTTTTATTCTATTCAGTGTTCAGTATTCAAAAATTGTTTATTTCTGTGTGTGTATAGTACGCGCATGTCTGTCTGTCTCCAAATCTATTTGTTTGTTTGTTTGCAGGCTTGCTTACGCCTGTGTTTGTATATGTGTATGTGTGTTTGCGAGTGTGAATTTAGCTGATGTATAACACTATATTCAACTAAAGAATGTGGAGCACAGTCAACCTACTACAGTCGGAAAATTTAGTTTCTATTATAATAAAATTGTATAAATAAATGAGTGAATATATGAATTGAGTAAATTGGCAGTGAATACTGAATATTATTGTCGTAACAGTCACACCTTTGCACAACTGCTTTTTTCTATGCATATACGTATACGTGAGTGGGTGCTTAGGTGTATATTTTATATATATAAATATATGATATTTTCTCACTGTCCCACAGTTAAATAATTACACAGATTATCTCCATTCAGAGAGTACAAGGAAGTTATTGCTGAATATTAATAAATAAATAAATAAACATATTATAGCAGTATTTTATGGTATTTTTCAAATCCTAAACACACATTTTCAGATCGAGTGTAGTGTGAAGAGACGCCTAAATACTCAGGAATCAATCAATCAGATAAAGATAGACTGCAACACTTACACGATCACATTTATGTGTAATATAGGATTTTTAATACATATCCATATGTGTATACTGTGTAGTATGTATGTATGTATGTATGTAGGTAGGTATGTATGTGTATCTGTTTTATTGTCTGCATTTTGCTTGATCAGTTGACTGATTTCTCTTAAACAATTAGATTAACTATGCCATGACAACTGGAGATGATGGGGAATAGCCTGGTGTTGGTGGAGATAAAGACGAAGTGATACGTGAACCAGCTGTTCTTAGATTGGTTGTAGTTCTTGTCCGATTTCGTAATACTTGTAACATAATTAATTTACGATGTCCACTTCTTTCGCCAAGAGCAACTAAAGCACGTTTATCATTGCTAATTTTAACTTGTAATATTTCAATATTTGATGTGAACCAACACATTTGATTACCGTCTCTTACACGCCATACACGAATAGAACCATCCCAACTACCTGTTACAACTACTTCAGAGTCAATTGACACTGCCACACTAAGTACCTGAAAAAAGGAAAACGTGAAAAGAAAAAGAACATGATTTAGAACGACATTAATGATTGGAATAACAGAAATGTATTCAGGGATCTGCATCAGTGATTCAATGGTGGAATACTCACCAACAACTCATATACGGTTTGTTTACGATTCTCGCCCGACGGATCCTTGGTCCTCGCCTACAGCCGGTAATAAACACTGTAAAGCAAATAGGTTGGGTGTGAGGTAGCAACCCCATTCCATCAAAACGACAACACCATCACTAAAACTTCAAAGCTGAAGCTTGAAGGGCGACGTTCCACTCGGAACGCAAAGGAATGAAAAGAGGAAATTCGGAGATGTATAGTTTAAATTAATGTATACATTATGGGAATCTGTTGTTGGGTAGCAACTGAAGTGTAAAGGTTCACTACTCCTTAGTGTTAAGTGAAATCAATTAATCGACTCTATGTGCTATATAGTTACAATACGCTAATGTATACTGTACGATGCTCGACGGCTTGATGTTAGGTTTTTAGGAGGAAAACAATAAGGACTATATATTATGCTTGTCAACAATCGATCAACACTTAGGACTAGATAATGACATCGGTTACACGACACCCGGTTACCGATAGGTATACACAATCCAGTCGTCCTAGAGAGACTAATTTTGAGAGTGATATTAATTTTTTTTTACCTTTTGGAGTGAAAGATGCAAGTTTAGGTTATAAAGAGGAAATATTTTTTTCTACGAGTTTTCCTATGTGCAACAGTTCCCTGATGTCAATGGGAATGGACTTGGACATAATGTTTTGTTTTGATCCTTTTGTTAATATGATCTCCATGACCACTCAACTAATGGATGACTAGTAAACTAGGCGAGATATAGGAGTGTGTCAGGTGGGAATCGAACCTGAACCCAAACGGTTTTCGAATATTCTGCCAGAAAACTGCTTACTCAGAACAAAAATGTTTTTCAAGTTGCGTGATATTGAAAGCTATACTATTTACCCTATATTTCAATCCTTTGATTTAAGCATTGTTATTTTACTGAGCTACATTCTTTAATTGTGAACCTTTCCCTGTTTTTTTAACCAACCAACATCTTAATTTTTCAGAAGTCTTCACCGACGAAATTACTGTTTTTCTTTGATAAGACCCACTGTGACCTGCTGTCTCTGCAATACTATTTTTTCTCCTGACTGCTTCAGCTTGTGATGCTAATGAATGTTGTTGCACTGACCTGATATTTGACTGTTGAACCTCTACAGCATGCCAATAAACTACACAGTGGCTTGACAACCAAACTCCTAGAAACTGTCTCACGTTCTTAGAGTTTTCTGATGATAAAAATTTGTCAGTCACCGCTTTTTAATAAACAGAATCAAGCCTTTTTAGATGGGTCGTTTGATAAGAAAGGAATGATTTCACGAGTGATCACTGTCATTATCATCTCTGTTCCCCCACCATAAGATGCCTCTGCTCGACACTGAGGAACAGGTGGATGGTCAGAAACGATAAGCAACAAGAAACTCTTGAGGGCAGCACATCACCCAACAACCTGTTACGCATTCAAGTGTTGGTTTGTAAGGATTTTGATTGGTTTCAGGATTTCATCATGAGCTGACATTAGTTAGAGAACCATTGGAAGACCTGGATGAACTGGACAACTGTTTCGTCCCAGTTTGGGACTCTTCATCAGTACGCACCCACCGGATTCGAACCCAGGACCTTCCGGTTACAAGGCGAGCTCGTATACCATTAAGCCACTGGGACCCGATCCAATGGCCCTTGAATTCTAACTTCTGCCAATTCATTTGGACCATTGGATCGGGTCCCAGTGGCTTAATGGTATACGAGCTCGCCTGGGTTCGAATCCCGAGGGGTGTGTACTGCTGAAGAGTCCCAAACTAGGACGAAACAACTGTCCAGTACTACCAGGTTTTCTAATGGTTCTCCAACTAATGTCAGCTCATGATGAAATCCTGAAACCTGTTACGCAACAGATATGTAAAAGGAGATGAAGATGGACTGGCCATACACTGAAGAGGACACTCAAGTCCCTTGAATGGAACCTGAATGCGAAGCAACGGGTCGGGTGTTTGATAGAAACATGGAGGAAATCATGTGAAAAGGAAATGAAAGCTTGTGGACGGACGTATAGCCAGCTCAAAACAACAGTAGAGAAGTCAATACAATGGAGACATGCTAATGAAGTAATATGCTCTACCTAGAACGCAAGGGACGGATAATAATAATATTAAAGACAGCATTTAGAAATGTTTCACAGGCAGGTGAATGTTCAATGCATTTCTTACCCAAGAAAAGTTTACATACTTTCAGGTCTAAAAGCATCTGTTAATAAACTTGGAAAAAACAATTGATAAATAGCCGAAACTCTGACACTTACATCATCAGCATGTCCTTCCAGAGTGTGAAGTAGACGTTCATCAGGCATTGTCCATATTCTAGCCAACTGATCTTGTGAACCAGTGACTAAATAATGTCCATCAGTTGACAATTTAACACAATGAATTGTTTCAGTGTGTGGAGGTAAGAAAGTTGGATTACCACCTTCAAGAGTTGCACTGATTTGAATTTGACGCATAACACGACCAGTTAATAAATTCCAAACAAACAATTCACCTCTACGTGTGCCTGAAAACAGTTTTTGATTTATAAAAAAGACAACAACAATAACTCTTTGTCAGAGCAAAAAGTAATTAGGGGAAAACAAAAGAAAGAGGAATGAAAACTCACTAAAATATTATGACATAACAAATATTTCCTGAAATTTATTAAACGCTACAGGACTGTCAAACAAAGAGCTCCACCAATCCAGTCAGCTCCCACAAAGGATGTTAACATGTGTTTGCTGTTCAGGGATGATCACTGAAGTCTGACCATCAAACAATGACTTAGGGCGGCACTCTCAGTGGAACCCACTATACAGATGAAATCATATTTATAGAGAAAACGAGACTTCTGTTGCCCTGTAGCAACTCACTGTGTTTACCAATTTACATATATGTATAGTCACAAGTACACAGAAAAGAGCCATCGATATTTGTTGCTCAGAACTACAAAACACTTTCCTAAGTGGTCACGTTAACAAATAAAATCACCCGATGAAACTAGTCCTAGAAAATAATGTCCAACATCATCTGTCGCAAAGCACATCATGGAGACGGGTGACAAAGTTAATTTCAATTGTGCCTGGTATTAGATGGTTGGACGCGATCGACAGGAAGCCTTGGACCTAGATTTAGTGCAGGTTCGAATCTCAGAAAGGATATGAGTTCCTTCGAGGTTGCACATACGCCTTGCTGGTGAGTGCGATAGGCACGAAACGTAGGTCCAAGGTTTCCTGCTGATTGCCTCTAACCACCTAATACCAATAATTCACAGTGAATCGTCGTGGTGGGCCAACTATTTTGATGGTGGCCACATTGAAAACTTCACCACAGTTCCCTTTGATTCATTTTATATAACACTATTTTCATCCAATTGTTTTCTTGCAAGAATTTCTTACCTCTTAGCTATGATCTTGAGGTAAACATTTGTACCCAAACTGATAAAAATTGTGATCCTTAATGCTTTGTCACCTTTTATATAAATGTAACAAATATGTGCGTCATCGGTACGTCGGTGGTCCAGGGTTCGACTCCCGGCCGATGCACTCCTAAATCACTCTTGGCCGGTAGTAAACGTGGCAAAGAAAGAAGGTTGGGTGTGAGGCTAGCAACCTCATCCCATTAAAAAACTACTGACACTAAAACTTCAAAGCTCCAGAATGAAGTCTTATGTTCCACTGGGAAAGCGAAGGAATAAGAAAACATGTGTCATCCAAATATCTGAAATATATTGCTCAACTGTATCACAACTTCGAAAAAAGTACTATTCAGATTTTGCTAAAGAAACTCATTGCGTCGAAATTAAGTTTCTCCTTGAAACTTAATTCGTGTATTCTAAGAGTCACGCGGCTGTAAAAAAAGTCGCAGAATAGTTTACTCGAGTAAAAAAATGATATAGTGTTTCACTGCTATCGATCATATATAAATTTGGAACTGATAAACACTTCCATACCTGACTTTTAATGA